AAAAAAAAAAAAAAAAAAAAAAAAAAAAAAAAAAAAAAAAAAAAAAAAAAAAAAACAAGCTTTTTTATTTTCAAGGTTGAATAGTAAAAAGAAGCGAATCTATCCCAAAAATTGCATTCCATCCCTCCAATTTAATTAACGTACAAAAGATATAAAAAGGAAATAAAGAGAAATACTCAAAAATGACATAGTGGTGATGTGATAAATAAATTTAATGCAGCCCTAAAGTCATACCATTTAAGATGCTTTTAGTAAATATTGGATATCAAAATGCTTAGTTTCATACATATAAAAGGGAAAGTGCTTTATGGCCAAACACTTTGTCGCATACGTAGCAACAGCGACTTGCACGAATGATGTAACGATGCCCTGCTATCTCCGACATGGACCCGGTCTTCCTCCTAGTGTTGTTGCCCATGAGAGAAAGGAAGGTTCAGTGGGTTTTCCTTCCAGGATCGAAGAAGGTCAAACTCTGGAACCAAACAATTTTCTGGAGTTTTCAAGAGTCATACCGCTTTTGATAGCTTTGGCTATCAAAACTAAGATTCTCTTTTTAATGTTTTGTATTGCAGCTCATCTAAGTGTGATGGCTGGTCACCCACCAGGCTTGGTGTGCTTGGACGGATTCGTCTTCTGCTAGTGTAAAAGACTTACCTCTAGATCAATCACTTTCAACCAATCAACAAAAGAACCGACACACATTCCTAACTATTTGGTCTTGATCCTACCAAACTAAGACATGTTAGCAATGGAAAAAAGGAGTTTGGTATCATTATTGATGTAATTCAAGTTCACATCGACTAGAGAGAGAAATGAGTGTCAGTGAGAACGCTGAGCTTCGAAGGGATATGGATTGTGAGATTCCACGTCGACTTGAGAAAGGAATGAGTGTCATCGAGAACGCTAGGCCTCGAAGGGGTGTGGATTGTGAGATCCCACATCGATTGGAGAGGAAAGCGAGTGCCAAAGAAGATGTTGGGCCCCAAAGGGGGTGGATTGTAAGATCTCATATCGGTTGGAGAGAGAAACAAAGCATTCTTTATAAGGGCGTGAAAACCTCTCCCTAGCAGACGGGTTTTAGGTAGCTTGAGGGAAAGCTCGAAAAGAAAAGAAAAAAAAAAGACAATATTTATTAACAGTGGGCTTGGACTATTACACACGATGGTTGGCATTAGTGCTCAGTTATTCTCTTGCAAGTATTATTTGGTATTTATCATTTCTCCTTCTACATTTTTGTTTGCAAAAATCAAACAATCAAATTGTGTGGAATAAGTAAGGCTCAAAGGTTGGAATAATAAGCGTCATTTAATTGAGAATGAGTGGCTTAATAACATGAACAGGAGTGCACAGAACCAGTTGTACAGTTGAGAGTGACAAAACAAAGTACAAAGCATGGGAACAATGATGCTAAAATGCTGAGAAAGGGAATGCCACTCACTTGAGGTACTTCTTGAACCACACACAAATGTTGAGGAAGCTTTCAAAATCCGATTGCGGCCTGATTCAGAGAGAGAATGAATAAGCCTAAAATAGTTTCCTATTTTTCAAATCTTGTAATTGAAAGTGCTCTTTCCTTAACAATCATAAACCAGTCGAAGTGTTACTATAATCTTAAACTTATAACAAATGATCCAAACAAATGTGGAATCAGAAACTATTCATAAAATGAGTTCGGAATATGCGAATGTGAAAGCAGGCAAATGTAGGACCTGTCAATTGGATGCTTATCATCTGGAAACATGATGACCTTCGTATCAACTCCTTTCTCCTTCAACGCTCGCGCAAACTGCATATTATATATAGCCCATCATATAGTTTTTCTTTTCTTACGTAACTATCAGAAATTCAAAGAGCCAGAAATTGGACGCAAATTTCATGTCATTGTGCAATCATTCTTGGTTATAAACAAGAGCAACGCAGCATCCATTTTATAGCCACACAAATAAATCAAAAGGATGTAGAATTTAGTAGAATGTGTTCTAACTTACTTGCAATCCATTTGAAAATGGAACACGAAGATCCTTAGCACCCAAAAGAAAAATGGTAGGTGTTTTAACCTGCAAAATCAAAATGAGACATAAAGGAAAATATGTAGTTGGTAACACATCCTCGGAAAATATGCGAGACTAAGAGTATAAATATACAGGATAACTTTCAAACTATTGTTTTAAAAAGGAAAAGGAAAATTCCAAAACAGAGTAGTTGGTAAAATAATTCTCCAGATAAAAGTATTTTAACTAAAGAAAAGTTATCTTCTGATTAGGATTTTTCCAAGTTTAGTTTATAACAAATCTCGCCACATTTAGAAAAAAGAGAAAAAAATTAGTCACTCACAAGACAGGGATCCTCCTGACCTTAGAAGAGCCTTAATTGATATTGATGCAGGGTGAAGCCCTTCAACGAAGGAGGCTTCTTCAATGAAGACCTCAGAGCTTACAATTTCTCCTTTTTCAATAATATATAAACAAAATCTAGCGATACGTACAATTTGAACTGTTGGGCAAAATCTAGCCACAGGAGTTTTATTTTGTTCAACTTTAGTAAGAATTTAAATATTTATTCATATGTACCATTTGATTATCTCGACTTAATGTGATTATAAAACTGTTGACCATAGCTTTTGTGAGTACTATTTTCTTCCAACCTTAGCGAGAACTTTAAAACATCGCCGTATCAATACAGTTATAGATGGCTAGCTTTTGATCATACGTACATTTGAGACATGTCGGATAGGAGACATGTTGTATAAGTGGATTAGGTGCTCAGCAGATGGTGCTTCCGTGAAGTAATTTTTTCCCTCCCTTCCATAACATTCCACATAACACCAATCAGGAATATCTGATGTGCCGACCATTAAAGCAAGGTTACACACAGGATTCCTTGCAGCAGCTGCCACAAATCTATCTGGTGCCTGCAGCATTTAGAAAACATAAGGGATTCAATTTATAAGGAAATGATTTCCTTTTCAAAAGTCAATCTGCCTTCTTGGCAACCAAATGTAATAGGCTTGGATAGTTAGTAAGAATAGTTAAGCTGGCCCAAATACTTGTGAATTTCAAAGAAAAAAGGAAAAAAAAATTCCATATGGCATAAATCCCAAGACATTAATAGGAGTTCAGGATGCTTTTCACAAAGGTGATTTTAAGTGAAGTTCACTTCTGCAAACACTTTAAGAAGTAGAGCCAATCAAGCGTTCCTTTCAAAAGCACTAAGTAAATGAATGCTTCATCGAGAAAGTATTTTAAAATGTTTTTTTAAGTACTTCTAAGATTTTGAAAATCAAATCTAACTTGACTTTATGAAAATTAATTTATAGGTAGTGAAAACTATTGTGATAGAGAGAGAGAAAAAAAAAGCAAGTCAAAATATCACCAGATTAGTGGAATGATGCGTAGTGTGCACCATCATGTTTTCAAGGGTAGCGCTGGAGAAAAATTAGATATAGAAAATATCGTGAAAAGCATCAACAGAGGCAAAATCCTCCATAAATCACGCAGAATCTAAATTCCACATAAAACCATCAATCAAACACGGGATTTAATTTCAGAAAATGTGAGCTATAAAAGTGGCGTTAAGTACAGAACCTGGCCAATCAAATGAGTTGTCAAAAAACCTCCATGAGAACCGCCAAGAACTGCAACTTTAGCGGGATTGGCAAGTCCCTGGTCGATAATGTGATCTAATGCAGCAAGGACATCATTGACATCCTGAGAAAAAATATATAAAAGATAAATAAAACATTCTATCCAGTGGCATTCTGAGAAAAACGGTCATCACGATAGAAGTAAAACAAAAATTCACACAAAAAGACTAAGAATAGATAAAAATAAAAAATAAAAACCTAAATTCATCATTAAAACTAGTACCTGAGACCCAATTTTTCCAGGAAGAGATTGCAATGCGTCCTCACCGAACCCCAATGAACCTCTGAGATACCAAATCAAAGAAGCCAAAGAAATGAAAAAATGCTCGTCACGCAGTGATACAATATCTGATTAATAAAACATAATTTCCATTCACCTCAATCTCACTTTACGGGAAAATGACTTTTTCCAAAGTAGCTCTCAAATAAGCAAATTAAACATTGAATGTGCAATAATTAAAACTAATCATTCCTTTTTGTCCAAAAGATAACGGTAATGCTTAACTGAGGTTTTGAATAATAAAACTCAAGTAGCAAATAAACTTGAGAGAAAGGGAGTTGAGATATAAGCTTCTTATATATCTATATACACCACCAACTGAAAGTTGATTAATTTGACTGGACCCGACCTTCATTGAAAAAAATTCCAGGTGCAATTCAACCCAAATCAAGATCCGAGGGAAGAAAATAAACCTACCTATAGTTCACAATCAAAAGATTGAATCCTACGGCAGCAAGAAATGCCAAGGACTTCGAGAAGCTTGATGTTGATGTAGAATGTGGACCGCCATGAAGGTTAACAATAAGTGGTTTCAACTCATTACCTTTGGAAAACGGAGATACAAAGATAGCTTCAAAAGGTTCACTAGCACCTGAAATGATTTGATTATTCAGTACTATAAGGAAAGAAAGTTTACTAAGTGAACCGAACTAGCAAAAATGGGTTTCATCAGTTTTGAGGTGAAAAAACTTTAGAAGAAACACATTTCACGTCTTCATTTGTGTTTTATAAACTAAAAAATTCCCTATGTTTGATAATAAAAATAGACAAAAGGAAACCAACATTATCTCCGGGAAGGTCACCAAAATGTAAATAAATCGTTTGTACAGTACCTTTTGTCACGCAGTTGGAAACATCCTTGACTGGAATCTTCAATATACTGAACAAGATATGTGAGAGTAGAGTTCTAGCCTGTATCATCAAGTGTTGGTTTACTTAATCACGAAAGTTATGGAATGGCCTTCAGGGTATCTTTATTTAAAAAAAAAAAACAATAACCTTCGTAGAGCAATTAAACATAGGATTTAATACATCGACCCAATTCCATACAACATCCTTAGTTTCTGTCTCAATAAGAAAACCATACTTGAGTCCAGGAATAGTCACTGGGCCGCTACGAACTGCAGACGGGAACTTAAAAATGTTAAAAATCAGTACCATCGAGCAAGCTTATCTTAAAGATCTCATTTCCACATTACCAGCAATAACGTTGTCTCCATCTAGAGCAAGAACATTCCAAGAATAGTCTGTGTGGTCAGGACTGACGCATGAGACTTCACCGCTGTTATTTTCAATAAACAAAATGTCATCAGATAAGAGAACAAAATTTAGCGCAGAAATAACGATAATTTCCTTCAGAATTATGCAGATTGCCTTAAGATATCTATAGAGACAATTGCACTCCTGCTACGCCATATGGTTGTTATAATAATAGTGTGTCCATCAGAAAACCATGGATTAGCCAGCAAACCATGTGAATAGAGGCCAGGAAAGAGGTCGTCCTCGGCCCAGTGCACCACAGGAACCTTCAAAATTTTATTTTAAAAATTTGTGAAGAAAAATAACTTGTAAATAAACAAGAGAACTTCAAAGCACGTCTTACTTAGTAATTAAAACGTCATCTAATTGAGCAATAATGCAATGCCTCTATCTCTCTCTCTTTTTTTTTTTTTTTGGG